TTGGGAAGCTTAACCAGCGTCAAGATCGGCGCAACGAGTTCTGCGGGCATGAGTCAAGTTCATCAGTCGGTCGATGATCCACTGTACCTACATATTATGTACCTTGAAAAAATCCCAGATATCGGACTGGATGGCTTATAGCCTTGCTATCTCGCTTGATCGGCCATCGCCTTGAATTCGAGTTAGTTCATTAGTCCAAGGCGTTGTTTAAAAGCTTGTAAGTGGCTCTTAGTAATCAACAATTCATTCATGGTTGCGGAAAACCCAGATAAAGCGTTTGTTAACCTGTTTTATTTGCGACCGAGTCTACGATTCTTTCAGGGTCATTTCCACGTTTGTGCGCCAAAATCACGGCTGACTTATAAATAGATCATTGTGTATAAAAAAGCTCTTTTCGCACTCATGTGACTCGCGGTTTATATATCAAATATATATATCTCAAATCGCGAATGATAAATTCCATCAGTAATGACGTTGCACTAAGGGGCCAATTTACATTCCGTAAAATTTCCATCGCTCTTTTCGCGTCGGATTAATATTTCATTTCGTTAATTCCCACAATTTTCTGAATGGAAACCCCATGTGATTGCTAGTCGCTAATTGTGAGTGCCAACTGAAGTCGGTTTAAATGTTTAAGTACACTTAACCCACTCAGTGAACTTAAACCCTTCTTTATGCCATCATTATTTGCCACCAGAGGTTAAACTCACATTCCGCGAAGAGTCTTCTCGAAATTGTCCCCGTGTGAATGTGACAAACACGCAGAATGATTTGGCACATCTAAAGCGGATGTTTTCACCGGGAAACACTGGATATATCTTGCTCCGCTAAATAGATAAACAAATCACTTGGGTTCTGTTATTATTTGCATGTCTATTGTCCAAATTAGTTTCAATGACATCATTTCGTTGGGGGGAAAAGTGTAATAACCTTTTATGTCCGCCCTGAGTTTCTGGAAAATTTCTTTATAACGCTGAAAGTGGTAATCAATCGGATTCAGTTGGGTTTTTGCTCGCACGAAAGCTCGTACATCACAAGACTTGATAATTGTTATCAATATCAGACAGCTTTCCGGCTATCAGCGGCATTAATTCGATTTAAAGCCAAAAGCTGTGCAATTCAAACGAAATCAAATCATATTTCCATTCATTCAGGCCCACTTGGCGTTCGTTTTTTAAAGAGAGATCCGCCAAATTGCACAACCAATTGGCGGCAGACAAAAGGCGAGCCAATTAGAATTATTTTCGGGGTGGCGCACGTCTGAAGAAAATTCGCAAATCGAGAAAATAAACTACATGGTTGCGGCACGAACCAGATATAATATGTACACACATATATACTGCTGCATATGTGTTCCTGCTCGGATAGCAAAACTAGTGTGAATGTGAATGATATAACTTTTGTTTACGGCTCTTGCATCGCTCTTTCTCGCCCGCTTCCGCAATTCTCGCTGGTCGGGTGATGGGGATTTTAGTGGCGCGTGTGGATTGCCCAGTCCGCCCATCGCATCACATCACTCTTTTTGCATTCTGCATGAGCAGCCTGCATTATTATTCAATATTACCGCACCTGGTTGCATCGTCTAGAAAATACAGATAGCAGTCGGTGCTAAATTGGTTTAAAATCATGGCGCTTGAGGCTCTCAAGGAATTGCTTAACCTTGTGGAAGAAGTCGAGGAATGTCGCCCTCCCGAGGAAGTAGTAGTTCACGTAAATGAATGCATACTTTTATGTTGTACTTATTCGCTATAAGGAATGGAACTCGAAACCTTTTCAAGCTGCATTCATCAGTATTAAATCCATTTTCCTAGATTAGATTTCCTAGATAGACTAGTCGTATCCTAGATCTCTAGCCGTAACACACGTATTTTAATCGATTACCTTTGGATTTTTGCAGTACCTCGACATTGGCGAGGATATGAACGTACCTGATGACTTCACACAGAAAGAGATGCAGACGGGCCTGTGGTGGCGACACTTGGTGGCCGGTGGCATAGCTGGAGCAGTTTCCCGGACGTGCACAGCGCCGCTGGACAGGATTAAAGTGTACTTGCAGGTGAGTTTACCTCTATACAGGAAGCATTTCTCTTGAAAACTAAACAAACGAATTCTCCCAACCAGGTACAAACACAAAGAATGGGAATCTCAGAGTGTATGCACATCATGCTGAACGAGGGCGGATCACGGAGCATGTGGCGAGGCAATGGCATCAATGTGTTGAAGATTGCCCCCGAAACGGCTTTCAAGTTTGCTGCCTACGAACAGATGAAGCGACTGATCCGCGGAGAAGATGGCAGCCGTCAGATGAGCATCGTGGAGCGATTCTACGCGGGCGCTGCGGCAGGCGGCATTTCACAGACCATCATCTACCCCATGGAAGTATTAAAGACGCGCCTGGCGCTTCGCAAAACGGGACAGTACGCGGGCATTGCCGATGCGGCGGTCAAAATCTACAAGCAGGAAGGAGTCCGCAGCTTCTACCGTGGCTATGTACCGAACATTCTGGGTATCCTGCCTTATGCCGGCATCGATTTGGCGGTATATGAAACCCTCAAGAGGCGGTACATTGCCAACCACGACAACAACGAGCAGCCCAGCTTCCTTGTGCTCCTGGCGTGCGGCAGTACATCGAGCACACTCGGACAGCTCTGCTCCTACCCGCTGGCCCTGGTGCGCACTCGGCTACAGGCACAAGGTAAGACAATAATGGAGGGTCAAGTGGATTCTATCGTAATGCTACAATAATTTACCCATTTCCACTTGCAGCCGCCGAAACAATTGCCAATCAAAAGCGGAAAACGCAAATACCCCTGAAGAGCAGCGATGCGCATAGTGGCGAGGAGACGATGACGGGCCTGTTCCGCAAGATCGTCCGACAGGAGGGTCTGACGGGGCTGTACCGCGGCATTACGCCAAACTTCCTCAAGGTCCTGCCGGCAGTGTCTATCAGCTACGTGGTGTACGAGTATACGAGTCGCGCCCTGGGCATCAAGATGTCGTGAGATGTCTGTCCTAATCTCGCTCCTATCAGGTTAACTCGGCTCGGCCCGGCCACCCGTCTGCGGCCCCGCTCTGCAGGGCGGATCGGGCTGCGGCCGGGAGTGCGGCTGGTGATCCGGCTGACGCTGTGCTCCATTTTGTATAGTAGTAGCGTTAGGTTAAGTCGGCTCGGTCGCCACTCGCTCTCTGCTGTAATGAGACAGTCTCGTGCTGCTTTCCTTAAGTGTAAAACAGGCCTCTTCCACGTTCTGGGTTATCCGTTTTAGGTTTTTATAGTTGAATTAGTTTGGTTATTTTCTTAAAATATAAAATAAGTGATACTATGGCTAATTTATTTATAAACTAAACGCAAAGGAGAAAATGCAACATTTTGGCGCGTGAAGGACGCGAGCTAATCCCAAAACATTTCTTAGGCTATCCTGCGACCTACAAGTAGGTTTAGGCCACTCTATCTCTTAAGAGCTAATTTATTTACAACTGTACGTAGGCTACCTTTGCTGGGGGCAATCGCTCTCAGTGAACTGCTAAAACACACATACCAAAAACGAAACCGGCCTCGAAAAGAAGTTTCACGGGTGTTTAGTTTGTCCCATCCGACTGCTTTCGAAAGCGAATTAGCTTAGCGTTAATCAGAGTGAGCGAAGCAGGCTGATTGTGAGGGAATCAGATATCTGAAATCGAGGAATGGACTCGGATGGACTCGGCAGCGTTTAAGCTTAAACACAAAAGACATTAAAACTACGATGTACTCGTTTTTGCTTAGATTAATGGATTACACAAAATAATGAGAAACACTTAACGTTTACAATGTGATGATAATAGTTTATAATATACACATATACATATACCTACTAAAATACCGACTTGTAAGCTTCAAATAGCTGTCGCAGTCTTGAGCAAGTTCGGCGGCGAGGCTGAAAATTTGTAGCATTTTATTTGTTAAGTTTAGTAACACTTTCTCTTAGATCGTATTGCAATTGAAGCCAACGAGATTAATTGTGACTAAAGCTAACAAACAAAACCAACACAATACCCATACACCATGTAATTTATTTGATATATCATGTGAATCTAAACCCGATCGCAAAACCGACCAATCTTAAGTTCAATCCTATTTTATATACACTGTAATGGTTCTGAATTTAAAAGTATATGTATGATTTGTACCTTACTCTTAACTAGCCAAATTGAATTTTGTACGACTGTAGTGAATATAATGACTTTTTAAATATGATTTACCACTATCCCAAAAAAGCATTTTAATGAAGTCGAACACATTTGAATCATTTAACCAGCCCATTTAATTAGACTTGATCATTGAAAATCACGCAATCATTATTCGAGTAAATAAATACGAAGATTAAAATTAAATATACCGCAAAATTTGTTTATAATTTCTTAGTTTTATGTTTTCAATTCCACAGGATGTTCTGCTCTTGTCCGAGCTCATTTTAAGTTTGTCCTCTGCATTTCGATATTACGGCCCAAGTTAATTTAGTATACTATATACTTTTCTACTTACTTAAAGGTCTTGCCAAGATGATAAGATAAACAATGGTTGACAAGTCTATCTAGTCCATGAGCAAATCGAAATATTAATGAAAGTTTGAAATCAACTTGAATATTTTCCAGGCGATGAAAATATACTTAACATATTTAACTACGAATATATAACTGCAAATACTCTGATATACATATTGTTATATTTTTGTACGTTTAGCTAATTTTTAAATAAATTATTTAATGTGATTATAAGCCCGATTCCAGTTACAAATAAAATGCAAATTATTACAACTGATCGCTTGCATTTTAAGTGGATATAAAGTTCATTGAAAACAAATAACTATTTAGTGTCAAAGAAACCATGTAAATATTAATATTGACTTCGAAAATAAATAAAATCTTCAAAAAATATCGAAAATGAACACCGATGACCAGAGGTACTAGTTCGGAACTCAATACCGAATATTTATAATGCGCCCAACTGAACGATCGGTGCTATTTTTGGAGGAGGAACGTCCGCCAGCTGTTCCACTACTCAGCGGCAGTGTGGTGATCAGAAAACGCGGACGATACCACTTTTTCCGCCGTTGCGCCGAGTTCTGAATATCTGAATCAGATTTTATATAATTTGGAGTCCACATGGAGTTCGACGCCACGTACCACGAGATCTGCTCCGCGCAGACCGTCCAGTCGGAGAAGAGGGGATTCTTCAACGAGTTCTGCGTGGACGTGCGGGATGCATGTGGCGACAAGTGGCTGCGGAACTACTTTGGCAAACTGAAGTCCAATGCAGCCCGAGTTCTCTCCATCTTCAGCGATCGCGAGGTGTGCGATCCCGTGCTCGGTGTCCTGGAGCATGTGCAGCCGGTGTTCAAGCAGAAGGATGCCCTCTTCTCAGCTCAACGACGTGCCCAGGCCGACAAGCTTTATCTGATGAGTGGCAGTGGCAGTGGCGAGGGCGAGGAGAGCAGGGAACTGCTGCACCAGGCTCTCATGGCCGCCAATCTTGCCGTGATGCGGGCTCCCGACCGCAATGCAGATCCTGTCATCGATGAGGGCCTCACCTTGGCACTGGCCTACAGGTCGAGGGCTTCCATACTGATCCGCTTGGGCGAGGGAGAGGCTGCCTTGAGTGACCTCAAATTGGCCATCAACTTTGGACTGGAGCTTAAGTCTAGTGTGGATTACTACTTGAAGATGGCCAAAGCTTATGCAGGTGGGTCAGCCAGGAGCATCCCGATAGTATGCATGCTTATGGAAAACCTTTAATTTGTAGTCATGGGAGAACCTGCCCGCGCTGAGATCTCAGTGAAGATAGCCGAGAAGATGCCAGGCTGTGACTCCACCCACATCGCCCTGTGTCGCAAGGAGATATCTGCAGTCAAGCCGAAAGCCAAGGAAGTCTCCGCGGAACAGGTGCCACAACTGGCACATGGCGAGAGTGCCGAACTGATTGGTGCGTCCAAGGTGGTGAGGCTGGTGGAGACCAAGGATAAGGGTCGTTTTGTGGTGGCCAATGAGGGTCTGAGAGCCGGCGATGTTCTGCTCTGTGAGGAGCCAGTGGCCGCCTGTTTGGAGCCCACGTACTTTGGCACTCATTGTCATCATTGCTTCAAGAGGTAAAGTGTGTTATAATTGGAGGTGTGGTTGTCAGAAAATTCATTGAATTACAGGCTGAGCACTCCAGTTTCGTGTCTCCATTGCTCGGGAGTCGCCTTCTGCTCCGCTCAGTGCATGGGCGAGGCCAGCTCCAGTTACCATCGCTTCGAGTGCGAGTACATGGATCTGATGATCGGTTCGGGCATGTCCATCCTGTGCTTCATCGCCCTGCGAGTCTTCACGCAGGCGCCCAGCTTGGAGCAGGGCTTGGCCACTGCCAACCTGCTCTTCGAGCATTTGTGCTCCCACGAGGAGGAGCGCCAGCCGGACGACTACCTGCGACGAGCTCTGATGTCTGGCTTCCTGTTGCGCATCCTGCAGAAGTCGCTGTACTTCGGACGTCGCAAGACTGAGGGCGTGAATCCCACGGCCGTGGAGCTGCAGGTGGCCACCGCTTTGCTGGGCCTGCTGCAGGTGCTCCAGTACAATGCCCACCAGATCTATCAAACGCAAGTGACCGAGGAGCACCGATTCGATGGCAGTAAGACGGTGTATCTGGCCGCCGGCCTTTATGGTACCGGTTCCTATTTCAATCACGAGTGCTGGCCCAGGTGGGTTTCCTTTGGATACATTTTTTTGAGATCATCGAGGATCCTTCTTACCATTCTAGCACCGCTTGTCATTTTGTGGGCAAGAAGCTGGTCCTTACAGCCACCAAGCCGCATCGTGCCAATGAATTGGTGGCGGTGAACTACGGACCCATTTTCATCAAAAATAACTTGAAGGAGAGGCAGCGATCCCTGCGCGGACGCTACTCCTTCAGCTGCAACTGCATGGCCTGCCAGGAGAACTGGCCATTGCTCCAGAAGCTGGACAAGCAAGTGCGCTTCTGGTGGGTACTAGCCTCGGCTTATCAACTGATATAACACAACATTTGAATATTCCATTCTTGAAGGTGCACCTCAGCCAACTGCTCTAACTTGCTCAAGTTCCCCAAGGACTTGGCGAAGGATGTGCGTTGTCCTCGCTGCCGCAAGAACATCTCACTCAAGGAGAGCGTGGCCAAATTGATCAAGATCGAGGAGCTGTATCGAGAAGCTGCGCGGGCCATGGAGGCCCAGAAAACCGGAGAGGCTATTGAACTCTTCAAGGAGGCACTCGAGATGTTCTTCCACGTGGCTGCACTGCCTCACAAGGACACCATAGTGGCGCAGCAATCGCTCCACAAGTGTTTGTCCGACACTGGGACCACTTTTAAAAAGGAGGCAAAATGAAGGAAAACAAGTTAATGGCTTGTGCACGTATTATTAATTCGTTTTTTCTACTTGATTGCAAAATAAATTTCATATTAATGTTGTATTTAATTAATGTAAATGTTTTTTATAATTACCCGCTAAAATCTAATTCTACACCGCGAATTTTCCAATTACAATAACTACTGTAAATACAGTGCTGTTAAGTGTCTGTAAATGGCAACGAGTGTACGTGGTATCTTTCGGAGATGCGGCCACACTGCAGCCGACTTGTTTTGAAATAAATTTGGTTTTGTTTATCCGGCTAAAATGTTTAAAAAACTCAAGCCAGGTGAAAGTGAGGAGGATGTTCTGCGAATGGCAGCCGAGTTCAATGCAGAGAGAGCGAAGGATCCCAATTTTCAGCCTGCAGCGGCTTTTGTGCGCATGGATAAAGGTTCGTCCAGATTCTCTCCTTTTGCCAAAGATTTGTAAAGTTTATTAAATTTACATTTCCTTAATTAAGTAGCTCCTAAGAAGTCTATGTTTGCCCAAAGACGGGAGCAGGCGAAATTGGGACGTGTTACCACCGCTACGGAAAAACCCGAGGAGCAAATTCAACCAGTGCTTAAAGAAATCATCCCAGAGATTCCAACAAGTGTCTCAAAAGAACGTGGAACGCATGTCAGCCAGGTTGTGCTTGACGAAATCCAGGAAAACATTTTGGGCGACGTGAAGGGCAGCAAAATGAACCCAAGTTCCCTAGGCAATGTGTTGGGCGAACTGGTAGAAAGAACTGGAGGAGCCAGGGGACCTGCCTTCCCAGAAACTAAAAAGGTTGGACTATTGTATGCTTAACTCGTTGTCATATACATATTTCTAATGATTTTTATGTTTTAGGTCGGTACCGGCAAGCCGCTTAGCATTTTCGCCAAACAACTTTTAGGAGCGAAAGCTTTAAATGCGGAAAACTCAAAAAACGAGTCGCATTCACCAAGAAATGATACTAGTTCCGTAATAAAAGATGCCAGGCTGGGAAAGGAGCTGCACCAGGAAAACCTAAATGTACTCAAGCAAATGAATGAGCAAGACATCTTGGCAGAGAAAGAAAGGTTGCTGGCTTCTTTGGGTAAATAACTGCCTTTCGGTAAAATGTTGTTTCTCTTAAAATGTTATTAATGCTTTGCAGATCCTTCGTTGATAGCTTTGTTGTCCAAGAAACGTCAAAGCACACAAAGTACCAAGCCGCTCAACTCGAATTCACCTAAGATAATAGAAGCACCACCCATGCCGACACAGTCTATAAAAGTCCAAGATCCACAAATTGCTTCTTTACCCGATTGCAATCCAGCTGTTGATTTATTGCAGCAGAGCGACAAAGGAAATTGGGTTAATTTCAATCTCGTCGAGGAACATAAATTGGCGTGGATGCGGGATATTCCCGCTAAGATAAGTGAATTAAAGCCGGGAGAGCAGTTCAATGCTCGCTTCGATTGGAAAGGTGTGCTCCTGCCTCACACACTCAAGGATCAGGATGCTTTGAAACAACTAGATGAGCGAGAACTTTATTTACATGGCGAGGAGGCAGATCGTCCCGGCTACGCACTTCAAGAGCTGTTTCGATTAGCCAGGTGAGCATCGGGTAAATATCTGTTAAATAAAATTGTTATTTTTGGCTCGCTTCATTTTGCAGATCCACTGTGTTACAGCAAAGATTATCAGCCTTTGGAGCCATAGCTGGGATTTTTAGCATCTACAACCAGGGATTCTATGATCAAGTGCTGTCTCTACCTATATCAAAAATATTCTTTCTGCTGCGCTTTGGGCTCGATGACAATGCCCCTGCACAACTTGAGGTTGTTAGCCGAGCTCTAGCAAACCTATTTTATAACGACACCGACGAAGTGCTTCTTGATCATATTCAAGACAACGCCTACTGTCATTGGCAACCAACCTTAGAGGTTATGGGGAACGGCAGCGATGGCAAAGGGGAAAATACAGACACTAACTCCATAGCATTCCTGCAGCGTTACATGAAGCTGCTGACCACCAGTAAAGCTGTGCGGGCGGAAGTGGATGAAGATGAATCGGAGAGTCGGACCTCCATGGATGACTTTCAACTGGCTGAAACAGATCTCATTGACTGTTTGCTTAGAACAAATATATTGCAAAGGATTCGGTAAGCAATGCAATTTCTTAGAGTTAAAGCTATTTCTAATAAGATTGTTTTTTATAGTTTCATCTTGGACTCCGTAAAACCAGATAATTACACAGTCGAGTCCTGTCTGAAACTACTTATAAGGATAGCTCGTACAAGTACCAAAGTGGCTCGTCAGTTGGCCAATGAAAGCCACCTTATAGATACACTCTTTAAACATTTTCTACCCTCTTCGAGTGGAAGCAATCAGTTCTATGGCCAGCCGCAAGTTCTATTTCTAAAACTAATTCGGGTGTTGATTTGCCAACACCTTGATATAGCTAAGAGCTTTTCTAAAGGAGTCCTGATTGTGCGCCTTCAACAGTACTTATTCCTTCAAGACAATAAGGTTTGTATGCGTGCGCTTTGGAGAAAGTGATTTTATTGACGGGGATCTCTTTGGCAGGCCCAGATGGTGCGCGTTCAGATCGAGGCGCTGCGCAACCTGCGCTGCTTGCTGCTCTTGGGAATCGTGGATCGGGATATATTCAGGTGGGTTAGCGCTACCCAATTAGCACTATTATCTCTTCCCATATGAATTTGCCGTTTGTAGCGATGTAGCATTTGACGGTTTCATAAGCGGTATCACAGCCATCTTTTCCCTCTGAGAAGAGCTCCAAATTGTGATTTTATTATTATGTTATTTAAATCAGCATACATACTCTGAGTACCACATGCACCGACCAATCCGTTAATAGTTTTGTGTATTTCCTCGGGTAAAACTTCCAACAGCGCTTCCAAGTGCATGATGTTTTGTGAGTCAATCTGTGGGGAAAGTAATTTTTCATTAATTGGAAATCATTCTAAGCATCGTAAAGGTCACAAACCAATCCGAACATATCAAACATGCAGTAGAGAAAACATTTGAAATCAGGCTCTGCGGGTAGTATTCTATTTTTCACCGACTTGTCTAAGGTTTCTGTAGTAAAGGGTATATAAGCTATTTTTACAGAATTTCACAAAAAAATCACTTACCAACGGAAACTCCTGTCTGATTTATGCATCGCATTCGCAGTTTTCTCACCTGCCTTATGATCGTTGGATTAATTTCCACCTAATTCCGGGCACAAAATCTAATTTAATTTAATTTAATTTAATTAACAAATACTTACTCCTTGATTAACAGGAATTAAATCATAGATTACGAGTAGCGCTAAAATAAGGCTTAAATGCCTTGCAGCCATTTTTGCTACGGTCCAACTGAGCATTTTTTAGGCTGCGGCTCATTTTTATAGCCAAACCAAGTAGCAATAATGACTATGATTTCGGGTAATTTACAGGCAGTTCCTTCCCGCGCTGCGACAGCTACTGGACTGGCATGGCAATCACTGCGCTTTTGATGGAGTGGGCGGATCAGGGCTGGTGCGCCAACACGCAGCCGCCCTGCTGGTGGCACTGGTGGCCAGTGGCGAGAGTGGAGCGTGCGACGTTGAGGGACAGAAGCTGCTCGTGGAGCCGCTTAACAATTGCTGCTGCGGCTGGATGCATACTGCTTCCCGCGTCGCGAAGATCAAAGATGCAAGTTTCTATATAGCCATTATTCTCTAAACTCAGTATAACTATTTCCTAATAAAAATCTGTATTTTAGTTTAGCCAGATGACGCTGCTGAGCGCTGCTTTATATGCTGTAGGCTGGTTTTCTCGCAACAGCTTGTTGGGTACCACCAGTTTCCAGCCCTTCCTGCGCAGCATCCTTCCGAAGTTTGTGCAGTCTAGCGGATTCATAGCTTGCGTACATGACCTAGTGTAAGCTGATCGTGCTAGAGCTTGAATCACACCTAACTTAATTGCTATATTCCAGCAAGGGCTCCATAATGCTGAAACGCCCTATTGATCGGCGCCACGTGCATGCGGCGTTGCCTAACGTGGGCGCAGTGCTGATGCACGACTACGGGCCGCAGTTGATTGTCAGTGAGACGTATCCGGTGAACCTGTTGAGTAACCTATGGGCGCTGCTCGCCGTTTCGCTGGAGAGCGGTGAGAAGCCATTGTTTGCGGCGCTTATGCAACCGGCGGTGCTTGAACCTCTGGCCGAATATCTGCGCCAGCTTAGCAGCCAGCTGAATCGCGTCCTGGCCACCAACTTCTTCGCCCGTAGCGAGCTGAGGCTAATCCATCAGCTGCTTACAACAGATGGAATGGATATCTATCTGGAGCGACAGCAGATGCTGCAGCTGGTGTACAACTACCTATGCTGCCTATCCACTGCCCATGCTACGCAGATCAAGAGCATCTTTGAGCGCTTCATTTTCAATGGCGATTTCGTCAAATTGGACGAGACTAGTCTTAAACTGCTGCAGCAATCCTGTCTGGAGATGGTCTATCCTCACATAATAGCTGTAAGCAATCTCAGTGAAAGTGATACCTTTTTAAATTCTTTTATATACGTATAGCATTATTTCAAAAGAGTTCCATGGAAGCAAAATTTAATTTATAGTATTACAGTATTATTAAATTTAAGTCAAATAGAAAACAATCCTTAAGCTTCAACAGACGCCGAAGTAGAATTAAGTACAAAAGATAACAGACTTATGGAATTTAAAAACGGTCAATTTCTGTTTCCCGGCTCAGCGCCGTAATACAGTGCCACGTTTTCAATGCATATTTATTGATTTTGCTTACTTTTGTTCCAGGACAACTCGGAGCCGTCGCTATCCTTGAACTACACACAAGCGCCCATCCTGCCCACGGACTGGCCCTTTTTTCAGCTTCGAGTTATCCTCAGCAATTACTTGCAAAATGTGCAACAGCGCCCAGCGACTATATACTCAGGTGAGGACGTTTACTTGAAACTTTGCTTTCTTGGGGATACATCATATTTTCATTTTTTTGTCTATTAAACAGAAAACCAGGTGGTCAGCATGACGTTGACTTTCGTCCGGCAATTGGAACGACAGGGACTGCAGATTGTTAACTCGCTAGAAAAGCTTATGTACTTGATGATTGCCTTCATGGGCCCGGACTCACAGTTCCTTTCTCCTGATTTGCATGACCTGCTGCGTGATTGCCTGATGGATTTCTACAGGGAGAACGCAACCCATGAATTCGACTTTGATGCAGAACTTGTGGATAAGGCCAGGTTCGAACCGCTTTACTATCTGTTTCTAGAACATTTTGAGGCGGCCAGCTATGGCGATGAACTGTTTAGTTCGCTGGTGCTGGTGCCTTTGGCACAGAAATATGATAACAAGTGGCGAAGGCGTCTCTGGTCGGAGCATGTGCAGGCTGTTCGTTTCATAAACTGTGATGAGACTTTGGTGAGTGAAAGTCAGTGCATCAAAATGAAGACAAACTAGATACAGTTCGATTGTGCTTTTGCAGCTGATGGGTGGACTGTCTGCATACTTGGAGCCCGTGGAGGAGGAGCCTTCGTTGGTGAAACTGTACGGCGATGCATTGGCGCAAAAGATGGTTCGTCCTGGGAGCATTGCCTATCGTATAGCCCAGCACCACTTCAACCACTCGACGTCGGTGCATAGGACCACATTGTTTTGATAATCGGAACATTAATTGTAGATAGGAGCTCTTCACGCGACTGCGATAAACGTACTTAATTAGGGAATTTAAAGTCGTTTTCATGTGACAATACTCTATTTATAAAGCAGCTGATTTGGGTTTATTTGTTCACTGTTTAAAGTGCTACCTCGCAATTATCCTGAGTTAAGTCCATCCAACTCCGAGTCCTCTTTAAAACTATATAATTTCCCAGCTTAAGAGATAGTTCCAGTTCAATGCATAGCTAATTACTGGGAATTCCACAGCAGGCAGGCAGGTCGCTTATCATTATTGCACTGCACTTTGGCAATGGTGAGCATGGTTGACTAGGGCAAATAATTACATTTTCGGATAGAGAACTTCCAGGTTGTGTAAGAGGGCTTTTTGGGCTAATTACGATGGGCCAACGCCGACTGCGTGTGACAGGCCAACAATTGCAGAGCATTTTGCTATCGCACTCAATTAATTAACATCGTTTGACTTATTGACACGTGGGCCACGACAACTTGCCTCCTCCTTGCGGCCACGCAGTCGTAAGCTTTGACGGCTGATAAAATATATGTAATTAAAATGAACACAACTGAGGGGCCAGTGCTAATTAAATCATTTGATCTAAGTACTCGTGCATGTTGGTTTTTCGTTACTTTCCTATGTGCCCTGAGCACCACACACCCTCACTTGACAAATGACTTGTCACGGGGCTTTCGCTTGACACATGGCGTATGCGCAACATTGGGCCACATAATTCAACTTTCGCATGATTTACATTCATCGAATTATGGAATTCTGCAGCGTGAGTTGGTAGCCTATGAGTGTTGATGTGATAATTGCCTTTAAATGGCCGCTAATTATTTAACAACTGCGGGGTGTTAGCGTGTTCCGTAAATATTTGCGTAGACCTCATAAATTTAAGCAGCGCTAATCTGCTAAGTCAACAGAAATTAAATTTCGATCGAATGGTCTATTAATAGGCAGTTCAAACTTGATTGCCACTTGAAAATGATATGGAACGGGGTGCATAGATACACGAATTCAAAGCTAATTGCATTGCTATCGCCTCCTTGAAAATTAGGTATTGCTTTATTGGAAAAGAATTGCCTTTTTTGCTTTTAATGGTTTGTAAACCAAAATTGTTCGCATATATTGATCACTTAAACATATTAATATTCTGGGAACTAACGATTTCAAATGGCGTTTGCCTTGCACCACAAAATCAATTGTGGGCCAATGCTTTTGTGATACGGAGCCAAGGCCTCGCAGAGTACATTTGCCCACTTGGCGGGTAGCCGGACAAATTCCCAGATATTTGTGTATGTTCGCCGGTATCCGGAGTCGCCTCTTATCTGTGATACAAACATTCGAAAAAGTAGATAGCGAGCTCCCAATTATTGGAGACCCTCGATGTGACTGTGCTCGCCGGCTAATGAAAACCTTTTGGCCAAATATTTGCATTGCATGCACTTGACCAAGAAACCGGTTTTGATTGCTGCCTTCCTCTTGGGAATCCCCAATTGGCAAAATATTTGCACCTTTTCATCGCCAGCTAAGCGAAGCTGTGTAAAAAAGTCGTATTCTTTTGTATTTGCCAAGAGCTGGTAAATATTTGAAATAAGTTGTAGCGGACGAACAACTGTCACGTTAAGATTTATTACTTTTTAAGACTTTCTTTTCATAAGCATTTGTTCTCTTCTCCAAGTTGAGTTGTGGAAAGTCATTTATGTCACTTCAATATTTCTGGGCAACTTTGAAACATTTTAAGTTTTAGTTTAAGTGAGGAAAAACATAAAATTGACTCCAAAATTTCAATCTAAAAACATTGTAGCAGTATGTGCCTGGTATGCCAGAACACTAACACGCAATGAATTATTTAAGTATTTTGTTAAACATTTATAGTGCAGCCCTTCAAAACGTGCAACTACTATATATTTCCTGCACAAATTATTTTCTTAACGGTGATTAACTTGAATTTTCACCGGCTGAAGCGTATCTAAATGCAAGCAAACGACTCGCGCTTGCCTGAGTCATCTAGCAACTCATTCAAATGGCATGCAGTGTCGGATACATGGATGTACCAAACATTTGTAGGGGTGCAAAAGCCACCACCAAGGTAACCCCATACCATATCTGAATCTCACAGAAACCACGGAAACCAAACTCACCCAACACAACTTCAGTTGCGCGCGTGTGTGAAATGGAATTTTTGTGCCGCACATTTGGGCAACTTGGGTTCGGTCGATCTGCCCATATATCTCCCTATATACTATATAGCTCGTTATGCTGTCGGTTGGTTGGTTTGGTGCCCCCCGAGCATTTGTTTGTTCGCCGCATTCGAGCGAACGACGAACCGAATTCGCCGCAGTGGCTTCTGATATTTTGAGGCGATCGCCACCCGAGTTTGCCTCAGTCAGTCGTCGACTCTCTGCACGTGCGTTTGGATAGCTAAAGCCATAGCTCCTCATCGGAATCGCAATCGGAAGAGGAATCGGTGGTCGGATCAGCTGCCACGTTTTGAACTCGAAGACGGAACAGGCAACGATCGTTTATTTTCGGTGCTGGATGTTTATTTTCGAAAACGGGCCCCTTTTAGAGGCAAGTGTTGAAGTGTTCAAGTATCTAAAAGGTACCACAACTATCTAAGAGATAAAAACGTGTAAAAGTATATGCAAGATACAATAGAATCCGAACGATTGAGCATCTGCCAGGCTGTAACATATTTAACTATTCGGCAGATACTAAAGTTTTCAAGTATCTGTCAGATACAAAGCACAGTTTATGCTTAATGCTCGCTGTATCTGCAACCCCACGCGGTGAACCCATCCTAGGCTGCTGCTCATCCTACTGGAACACAATTAATTCGCTCGAAGAAGCGTTTTGCAGTGCAAGAAAGCGAAACATTGTCTAAAATGCATATTGTGTATGAAATAAGTCTTCTCCCATCTCAAGTGTGTGCGTGAAAGCCAATGAAGTGCCCTTCTGAACAAACCAATTTGTTGTTTCGGTGCAAAAGTGTTTTTGGGGAACTTTCTGTGGGTGGTTTGTGGTGCCCCTTTGGATATCAGCCGAGTCTCAAGTACTCCCCAGTTCATGCTCATGGCTTCTAAGCCCAAGCTACGCTGATAACAAAATAATTGTTTTTCATGCACATATGTAAGTGAGCTTTGTTTTCGCTATTCCACATTTCCACGTTGCCGAATCTCACTGGCGCGGGCAAATATTTACCAAAGTGAACTAGTGCGTGTTGCAGTGAGAAGTGCATTAATTACTGCAAATTCGGAGTTCGTAGAAAAAGCGTATCAATTACCAATCAATTATCTGCCAGTTGGATATTCATTTTGTGCGTTTCGGTGAGTTTGCCAAGCAGCAAATTGTATTCTACACATTTCTGTTGAATTTGACTGCGGCTTTTTGGCCAGCTGTGTTGCCTTTGTATATACTTGGATATCTTTTGTATACTGCACCCTGCCGTAAATTAATAAACCACGCGTGCCCAGCGGCGCTGCATTTGATTGAAAAACTTTTTAACAAAAAGGGTTTCATTGTTTCAATGGACTATTTGTTTGACATATCGGTTTAAAAATATCTCGAATATGCTTTACAAATATCCATTTTTTCAGCCTGTTTGTGAGTGATTGCCATGCACTTGAACTTGAAAGCAATTACCAGTTTTCCGGGTCCGGTCTCGTCTATCTTTGGCAAGTGCTCTCGTTCATCTCCATTTATCTGTGCCACTAAATGGGGTAATAAATTCACCGGTGCATTTGTCTGTCTTCTTGTAATTCTATGACGACAATCTGGAATCTGGAAGACGCTACACTAGAATCATTCAGCGTTCAGGATTGCGGTCAGTTGTCATTTGCTGGGGTGCACTCGCATGTCTGGTTGCATATTTGCTCAGATACTTTGACACTAGCATGCTGGCATGTGCTACTTAATAGCTGAGAGTCACTTTATACCTGACTGTCGAAAAATCATAAAGAAGCCGCCCAGGAATCATATTACTTTAATATACATGAGTTTCTAAAACTACTTCTGCTGTCGAAATTTCTAAAATGGTTCTTTTGTCTCATATTTCGCATATTATATACATGTTATACAATTCAAAAGGAGCTTAACATTAATTTAGTTTTACCAATTTGTGCTTTAGAAATAGCCATCTGAAATACCACAGCATTTAACCTGAAGGGCTTGTACAAAATGTTCATATTTTCCTTTTTTTCAGATAAACATTGTAGTTTGAATGCCTTTTAAATACATTTTAAGGCAAAAAGCATCAACCAAAGAAATCAAACCTTTTTTTTTGAAATGGCATTAACAAAGAAATTGAGCTCCTCTTAAAAACCCATTAATGAAATGTTTTTTTTTAAAGCCACGGGTAAGGTAAATACTTAGAAATTTGATACTTGGAATATTTAATAGTTAATCCGAATCAAACGACCATGAAATTCGATATTTTCCTGGACAAACAGAATATTGTAAGGTGGGATCAGAATACAATATAAATGTATTAAAATCATATAATCAGTTTATATTAAAATATTAAAATCCTGTAAAATACCATTGGATTAAGTGATGATAGAAATATGTTCTTCTGTGGGATTGCATAACTTTTGAAACTCAAGCTAAAAAGAAGCCCATAGCAACCAAATGCAGCTGCATATAAAGGGCTTCAAAGGCGCCGGGCAACAGAAACCCAGGTCCTGGGGTTGCACTCCTTGCACTCCTTCCACCCCGGAGCACCGATCATTGATCGAGATATTTTATGGGGTGGCATTTGAAGGTCGCGGCTCATCCTAGGGTAACCTACTCAGATGTTTGAAAGTGAACTGGGTTCTGTGGGGCTCAGCTGGTTGGAACTGTCGCAGCGCATACGAGAACTGAGCAGCACATGCCTCGATTAACTTGTCCAGTTGCCAAGCCATTGACACACAGCCGGGCTAATGGAAATGCAACTCAAATTGTCACTGCTCCCCCTAATGATTGTCGAGCGACTTTTGAGGCTGAATGGGTGCGGCGGTGGTCGTCGGATTTGCGGCTCAACTGGCGCCAAAGCCGCCTGATCCCCAAGCTTTTGCTGTCAGCCATGGACAATAGGCACTCCGCTCCAGCACGTCGCACCCAGTGGCAAAAGTCCGGAGAAAGTCAGCCAGACAGACAACGAACCGGAGATCACAACAGAACGCAACTCAATGGCGAACAAATAAACTAATAAATCATTGACCTTGCGAACCTTGACAAAGGCGGTCGACCAGAAAGTGCACGGCTGCCATTTGGTGAATAGACTGACGCGAGGCACTAAAAAGAATATAGTATATCGTGTAAAATTAAAAGATATATTTTAAAGTTCATGAAACAGTTCATTGGGCACTTATCTTCGCAAATAAGAACTTTTAGTTCTAGGCTTCGTTCATCAATTCAATCAAAATTTTAAAAATACGAATTTATAAACACACTCGATTGCCCCAGAAGCACATGATGAAGACTATATGTATATATTGTATATCGAAAATTTACGAGCACTCTTGCGAAAATGAATACTCGATGGGTATGTACAAGATAAAAAACTGCGTACTAGAAAACAAAGGAGAAATCTGGAACAATGTACAAGGAAGGAATCTGTGAATCGATTGTGCGCTACCATCGAAGCTTTTCTTCTCAATACTTTCATATAGTATTTCTTTCTTCAAGAGATATGAATGATTAAATTGAAATAACCAGTATCTTTCCAATAGTTTCATATATTTAGGAGGGCGCTATGAATTTCTCCCAGTGCACTGAGAAATTGCAGTCCACGGCGGAAATGGGAATGGAAATGTGAATGGGAACGGGATGGGTATGAGTATGGGTATGCGACTGAGAATAAGAATGAGCATGATGGGCTGCCTCCCATATGAGTGGTGCGGTGCCTGGGCCACGGTTGAAAATTATGTAAATCACAGCGCCAAGTCACGAAATTCCCGGGTTGCGGTGCAGTCGCCAAGTCGCCAAGTCGCCGAGTATCCAAGTAGCCCAGTTGACCAGCAGCCAAGTAGCCACCGCGTTGTCAATTTTCACCTTTCGCCTTTTTGTCTTTGCGATCCAGCGATTTAATGGAGATTTACGGCAATTGACGGAGCGATTCATGCCGAGATAGCGATTTCGTGGGCGTGTGTCCAGCGTCCAGCGAGATTCTTTTGCGTAAGAAACCCGCGAATCAAGATGATGTGACGCTCAGTCTATCTTTCATTCGTAGGTATAAAATTCGTAAGTTGAACACGCGCACAATTAATACAAATTAGCCATCGTGCCCTTTGGCAGGCCAGAAGTACAGAAATACCGCGTGTGCATTAGCATTATATTATTTTAGACTAGAGCCAGCTGGCTTTGATGTTGCCTGCTGGCCGGGCACTAAGTGGGTTAAAATCAGAAGGGGTTACGTCCGAAATATATTTAAATTCCAGCTGCGAGTCGGGGAAACAATCGTTTCGTTTGGCCAGAACAGAACAGAACACAAACAGACCAGAAATTAACAGTGAAGAACAAAAAGCCATGGCCAATTGGCCAGGTAAATGGTTTTGGGTTCTCCGTTTTTGTTTCACGTTCTTATTGGTTTTTGAGGGCCACAAACTTGAATTTTCACATATATATCCACATGTATCTGGTGGGCTCGTATTTATCATATTTCGCTTTGTTCTCAGCGCTATGTACAATATATTTGGCATATACGCTGAGAATCCCAAATAGTGTTTGGTAACAAAACTTACTGAATCATCCTGACGCCGGTTCTAACAATTCGTGCAATGACCTGTGAAATTATGAGCATTATATGAGCTTATTCCTTCCCCAAAATTTTTGTGGGATACCCGACGGCTCTACTCGAAGCTCAAGTAGATTTGGTGTTCCTGGAATACTTCAATTAATTTTGGCTGTGAGAATGTTGCTATTTGCTTATTCCTAACTGGGCTCGCACTTGAATTTCTGGGAACCCGTCAGCCAACAATCAATATTTTGTCAAACTTGCATATTACCTGCCTGCTGATGTTTGCTCAGTTCGATTTGCATGGCAAACCTGAAATTTAAACGGGTTTCTCGCAAAGTTGCTGATTAGTGCGGCTTAGGATTTGCTAATTGGCAGCCCAAGTTATGCTCCCAAGGGATTTACTATCCATCCAATCAATGTAAATAGAAAGAACGTGCAAATGACCCAAAGGCAACTTTGATTTCGTGCCATCACGAGAAATCCCACGTCGAAGTTCTCCATTAAGCACAAGTCAGCAATTGCCAAAGGTGTTAGCCTGGATTATTTAGTGGCGTAGTACCAGTAGGCTTAAATGGCAGTCTCTGTAGGGCACACACATTCTAATTAAATTCCCAGTTACAATAACACCATCAAAAGCGTCTTAACTATCGGCAAACTGCAGTCCTTGCAGTACGTGCTTTAATTCATAACAAAGATGGCAGGAGTGATGTAATGCCAACATGCATAATTTACAATTTGTACGAGTATATCGCACATGGTTTTGACTTCATTCCATGGAGTGTCATGTGATTCTGACTTGAACTGGCTGGCAGCCAGGAATTGATACGACACTTTAAGGTGCAGTCACAGGCACATGCCACATGACCCATATCCATTTTTATTGCACACTTAACCAGAGTCATTAAGCTGCGGTTAAGGCGACTATATTCATATGAGACGCCGCTCGGCTTTACGATTCAGTATGCCATATAATAAATGCCATATCGTCTAGGTTTCCAGCCTTGCAGCAGGTGCTTACTTTAATAAGTTGCTGGCGGGTAAAAAACTGAGCAATCAGCACGATTTTGGACCTCCATATCAGATCGTTTTCGCTGCCTCAACGGAATCGTCGTATATAACATACATTCGAATTTCCCCGTTCATCTGCCACTTAAACAATTCAAGTTATGTGTGGACGAGAGTAGTGAGGCTGTGTAATATATTCTTAAATATTTACTGTCTTATGCTTCACAATAATTACAAAAACCTTCAACGTGCTACTCCGTTCCCGAGAACGCATTTAATATATGCATCTTTATACTTGTGGATTTCAAGAACTGGTTACTAATTTGTACTTTTCATTTAAACAGTATGATGTTTGGTTTTTTAGAAACTTGTTTTGAACAATTGGCAATTACTTATTGGTGTTTCGCAATATTTACCTAAGTTAGTATGTATTTAACAAGCTATTTAACGACTCTCTTTGCTGAAATTCCAATCAGCTCATGCTAAAGTTCATGAATATTATCAAATACAAAAAATATATTTGTTCAGCTTAAATCCATCCCAAATTGAATTCTCGTACATACATGTGTGTATATAGGTATAAATATGCCACAAGCCGGGGAA